AAAAAAAAAAAGTTAACATTGGTATTATCTTATCATTTGTTTCAATAAAAATAATTTGGAAAAAAAAAAAAAGATCGTCAGAGTGGATTCTTTTCAAACCCAGCCCGGGCTACAGGCTCTTCTGTAAAACCAGACTAACTGCTCTCTAGTGGCTGCAGATGGAACATTATTCTCACTGGCTGCATGTGTTTACACCCCACCACACGCAGCTCAAGACAATCTATATATCTGATGCAGTTTGTTGCCATTTTTTTTGTTGCTTTTCCATTTCCAAGTGATCAATGCTTTTATCTCTCCATAACTCTTCGCTTTGAACGACTCATTGCCCATGCTGGATTACTCCTGTCTTTGTAAAGAGTAATAGGAGGTTGACATAGTCAATTTTGTTTAAAAAAATAAAAAAATAAGCCCATAACATTTTGATCTTTCACCTGCCACACATTGTGTCCTCAAGTGTGAATAACGAATCAACCAAGATTAACAAACATAAGTTTTAAAACTCTTTAAATATTGCTTCAGCTACCTGTGTTAGGCCTGAACGTGCATGCATACACACAAACACACACACGCACACACACACACTGGTGCACAGCTTTACAGCTCCTCAGATAAGGCACACATTTATGGGTAACTCTGTTCAAAGTGAGATATGTTGCAGAGATAGGGCTGCGACAACATATCGTTTTACATCTAAAATAAATCGTGTGAATATGAGTTAATAATTAACCAATTACCAAATTTCTGTTACTCCCAAACAGCAATAAAATAGTTGTAACTATAATGCCATGCCTGTATAAGCAGGGTTCACTGAGTTTATAAAAAAAAATTCCACTGCAGAGATTTGATGTCCATCTTATTTTGGTTGAGTGAGAGGAACCAAAACACTCCTATTACGATTGCTTAGTGATGATAAAGTTATAATGATATTGATAATGAACCTAGATTTGCTAGGAAAAATAATCAGCGTTTTGATCTGGGGTTAATTTTCTTTCTTTACTGAAATCGATTGACTCCAGTCTCTAGAATTGAAGCCCAGGGAGTCTTAAGGGTCTTTAATTTTTTCTAACCCGGCCTTGTTGGCAAGAGCTCCACATTTCACCCCTCTAAATTTCTTATTTCACATAAAGCACTCTCTTGTTTTGAATATTTTATCCATTCAGAGAGGCACAGTGACACGTGAAAAGGGGAGTGGGTGGGTGGGGGGACGGGGGCGTACCCTTGATTTCAACCATATATCCACTTCATGAGAGTATAATTTAGAACTTCTATGCTTCCCCTTGTTTTTAAAACTTATCCTGTGTGTTGTGGCTTCGAACAACAGCTTGTGAACAGCGATCAATCATTCTTCTCCACTACCTGACTGCTGTACAGTAAATAGGATGATTACAGCTCCAGGCAGTACCAGGTTCAGTATGCAGTAGTAAGCAAAACAACACCATCCACACGTGTTTGTCAAAAAGCTCATCTTAATTTAAAAAAAAAAAAAACTTTAAAGTTTAAATTAGGCAACTTAGAGTCAAATCACACGTGATCATATTCGTCTTAAAAGTTTATACAAGTAATTTGAAACTGCAAAAACCCAGCAGTTACCTGAAAATCCAGATGTTAGAATACAAAAGTTAAAAGCGTATTACAGTCAAACATATATGAAATATAAAATCACAATCTTACCAGTAAAAAAAACAAGAAAAGTTTTGTCTAAAACAACTGTTTGATTGTTGACTGCATGACCAGCAGGACGTGTCCTGACTCTCCCCACCCATACAATTCAAAGGTTACATAACTTATACTATAAAAAGAATGATAAACTCATAATAACATAATATAATCCCATTTGAGAGATAGATAATGATTTTTTTGTCATCCTGGAGCAGAGCACTTCACAGTAAACTGCAGGGTGCTGAGACATGCATAATAACAGGCGGGAGGCTGGAAAAAAAAGCACCCCGGATTGTTTTTAATGTATTATTTCCACCAGTCCCGATACTCTGATTCTGGTTGTGAATGCGGATAAATGAATTACCATTTTAATCCATGAATACTTCCTCTTTTGAATTTTCTATCAGCCCTGAAAGTAAAAGTCATTTCAGAGTGATTCTGTGCGGCTGTGAAAAATGTGCTGCGGAAAAAAAAAATTACATTTTGTTAAGTGAGCTGCACTTGGCACATTTGGACGCAATCAAGAATTCTGAGTCTCAGCCAAAATGCAAACTACTGCGTCTGCATATGCGAAAGTGAAACAGAATCAAATAAAAAAAAGATTTGTATCCACAGACATGATTTTAATTGACGTCACACTGATTTCCATGAAGCTGAACAACTAAATTTGAGACTAATCCAAACTTAAAAACTGTTTTCCTTTACTCTCAGATGCTCTATGTGTTACAGATTAAAAGCTACTTGGTTATAGATACTGCCATATTATACAGTTAAGACTTAGTATGTATATATTCTTAAGGCTGGAATCTTAGATTCTGTATTGAGGCAATACATTCAAACATCCTTGTCACGGCTTACTTGCCTTCCCTTTGGCTAAACGTACTAAACTTGTTTGACCTTTGAAATCTGAGCATGCATAAATTGTAACACCTCATACGACTGAACCAGACTTATGTTGGTAATATTTCAATATAAACCATAATCCCTATTTTTAAAGTAGCGATGTGAAGAAAAATGTGGAGTTAAATTGTTTCCCAGAGCTAAACAGCATTATGGGTTACATCTAATCCCTTAATTAAATGCATTGTATGCTTTTAATTCAATTCAATTACATATGAACATCAGTAACATCTGCATTTATTTAGTTGTTATTTTCCTTTATTTTGCCTGGTCCTATGTGTATTTGTGTGCTGTGGGAGACTTCACATTGAAGCTCTCGTCAGGTGGTGTTGCACACTGAGATAATTGAGAATATCAAAATTGAAAGACTGAAATAACCGATATGAGCCCATGATGACCATCCATTCCCTCATTGGCACTCTAAAAAAAAAATGAACCGATTGTCTCAGGTTCTTTTCATATTTCAGCCACAAAAACAAGAGAAATGAGTCTGTCACAAGCAAGTTATAATTAATTTAATCTATGTTGTTGTGCCCCACTCATCACATGAAAAATCAATCTGAATCTTAGGACATAAAGAAATTAAAAAAGAAATGAAAGACGTTTCTTTCATAATTAACAAATGACAAATCTTTTCCTTGTGGCGACAAGGGAGGTAAATTCCTGGACTTTTTTTGTTATTTCGACACATAGTGCATCCCTGCATTTCCCGAGAAGGCTCATACAGCCGCTTTAATTATGTTACTGATAAAAGAAGAAATAAAAGTCTTGGCGTAGGTGGAGTACACTATCTTTATCTGGACACGATTAAAATATCTGTTTATCTTGCTGATAATTTTAAACGAGGGCTGGCGATGACAGGCTCAGCTTCTGTGCAGTTATGAGCAGCAATAACACACCGGGCCTATATTTGACTCTCTATAGCTGAATTTCAGACTCTAGCCTTGACCTATAGTTAGCGTTTACGGTAATATAGCATGATCTGAGCATGACATGACTGAAGGCTGGTGGAAGAATCAAATTGGAGGAGGCATCTTCAAAAAGCAGCATTTTTCAACACCCCCCCCCCCCCCCCTCCACCCCCCTGGTTATTTATTGACTAACCCATTAGATTTGGAGCTGTGCTTTCTCCCCATGTGACTTCAGAAGACCCACATATGATGGAAAGATCATCTGAGGCTTACCTTTAACCTTTGGAATGCCGCCTCTCACTGTCCCTCCACCCACGCGCATATCAAACTACTTACTGGTCAGGCTGGTAATCAAATGGAACGGCTCCTTTTTCAAATCTGTTTATGTAAAAAACAAAACAAAAAAAAAACAGCCTTGAGACACTTTTTTTTCTCCAAGTTTCAGATATATTCCAGTCCTCTGACAACAGTTGTTAATGTTTTTTCGTCTTTCATAGTGTTGCATTCACAGATACATTCAGTGCAGCGGTCAGTGACCGGACGGCTGGACGCTGATGCGGCCGGTCTGCCATGCTGGCACAGTCCAGAGAGGGTCAGAGAGTTTGCCCGTCCGTTACAGCAGAGGGAGGCGTCCCGTAGTACTATGCAACGCGTAGGCTTTAGCTGTAAAACCATAAAGCCCTGCTCTTAAAACTTGTCCAAACTAGTTGAATCTCCGAGCTCGTGGGAATGAGCCACTATTAAGATTACTGAAAGTGATGAGGGCTCACTGTGTCTTTGTTTTTTTGGAGACTCGAGTAAACACAAACCTTAATTATTTGTGCCAGGGGATGACATCATGTAGTTATAAAAGAAAAAAAACAACAACATTGTTAATGGTGAAGATCCAGCTCTGACTTCTGGTCTTTTTTGTGCAAACCCCACTAAGAAATTTTTTTTTTTAAATCTGGGAATCCAATTTTTAAAAAATACAGAAACCATGTATGGAATGTTTACTTTATATACAGAGTTTGAGGCACA